CTGGCACTGTTAGTCAGTGATAGAGATGCCTGTCAAGTATGTCCTAGTCTTCAGTTATAAGCTTAATGCCATCTGTTTTTGTACTTTGGGAAAAAGATAATTGTCAAAATTAAAAAAACAAAACAGAAAAACCTCTGCCCCTAACTCTTTATGCTGTACCCATGGGGAGCCAGAAAAGTTTTCATTCCTTGTTGAGTGGTCAGGAAAATGAGATCTAAGTAAGGACAATGTTAGGTGGTTAGGAGTGGTTAGATTGCCTTTAAGGTTCTTCCTGTAAATCAGAAAATTGCTTTTCTTTTCTTTCTTTTTTTTTTTTTTTTTGGATTTTTTTCGAGACAGGGTTTCTCCGTAGCTTTTTGGTTCCTGTCCTGGAACTAGCTCTTGTAGACCAGGCTGGCCTCAAAAGAAAGTTGCTTTTCTAGTTTCTGGCTCCTTGCCTTCCTCTGAGTGGTTGATGTGCTCCACCTTTCCTGGCTGAGCATACCTTCTTACTCTGTCTGGTTTAGTGAATCAGTAACAAGACACAGGATCTAAGTAATCTTATCCCCTGGATATAATCATGTCCCAGCTGACCCTCAAGGTAGTGCTGGCATCCATCTGTGAAGGAGGATTTGGATGTGAGCCAGGTAAGCCCACATCCTACAAGTACTCTACTGTTACTTAGCCTAAGGACTAAGTCCCTTCTCTAATATTAATTTTTTATGCTTAGGCTAGCCTGGTGCCACTGGGTAGCACCCACCCTTCACAAGACATCTAAGAAGGATTCAGAGTGTTGACACCCTCCTAGCTCACTTGGCTCACATGGCAGCTTTCCAGTGGCAGGCCATACCATAGTGGTGTGGAGGTGCTTAACTACCCATATTCCTGTGCTTGGAAAGCATGCTCAGTTGTAGACACTGCCAGGTGAGGCAGAACATCCTTATAGCTTGTCCAAAGCTCTGTATCCCAGGAAACACACCAAGACCCTGGCAAGCACTTTGCTGGTTTAAGGAGGGGAAAACCTGTTTATTGCAGAATTACAGGTGACATTTTTCTCCATGTAAGACTCCAGTCTGATGTTGGTCAAGTTTGTGCTTAGAAGTCTGTTTTAAAATATCCATTTGTATTTACTATTTTCCCCAAGTACACAGTGTAAATACTATAATTTGCAGTGTAAAGTCTTTGGCAATAACTTCAAGGATGTATAGTGTTAAACATTGGAAACCACAAGCATCATGGACTGCCCCATGCCTTCTGGGCCTATGGTAACATACAGACTCTGGACTTTTTACAAGTGTCGCCGTGGTTGAAGCAGCAGCCTGCATGTGTGGACTATCATCAGTGCCTCGCCCAGAGATGCCTGGCCTTCATCCAAAGGGACCCTGCTGCTCTGAGCCCTGCAAGCAGCACCCACACTGTGGCTCTTTTGTGTTGACTATGTTGGACTCTGCCATAGACTGACCCCTTTGTCTGGCGCTGTGGTCTGTAACGCCTTGACATGTGCATTTCTCTTCCATTTGAATAAAATAAATGCTGTGTGTAAAATAGGAATGGATGGACTACTCTGTGCAGGACTCAATCTGCTGAAAAGTTCCAGTGCCAGCTGCAGAGATGGCTCAGTGGTTAAAAAGAGCTCACTGTTCTTTTAGAGGGTCTGGGTTCAGTTCCCAGCATCCCCCAATTGCTTTAACTCTGACTCCAGTGGATCCACTGCCTTCTTCTGGCCACTGTGGGCATCTGCACATATATACATACCCAAACACACAGAGACATATCAATAAAACAATGAAATGCAAGCTCCACTTGCTTTCTGGGCCTGTAAGGCAAACTTCTTCACATTAGAGGTTTTTTACCTCACTCGGAGGGGACTGATTGTGTGTTCTTGAGATAGCCAGTGATTTGGGCTATGGGCCCAGGTCCTGTACAGTTTTTGCCATGTTAAACTTCTAATTGGCTCCAAGTGGTAAGTCATGTCACATCAGTGTGCAATCTAAACCTTTTTGCATCCCTCACTTGTAACCCTTACAACTGTCCCATGAATTGGCAAGACTTGAGCATTACCAGAAACAGAGGACTGCAATTTCAACAGGGCAGCATCAAGCAGTCTGACTCCAAAGGTGGTGAAGCTCTTCTTCTAGCAGCCACTTTGAGACCACCCTGTCACCTGGCCCAGCAGTTAGGTAAGTAGACAGTGGCATTGGGTCTCATGTCTTGAAGCACCATTAACTTAAGGACCAATACTTTCTCTGCACATCATCACCGTGAACTCTGCCGGCAGCCTTACTGGGAGGGACTTAGAAGAGCCAGCCTGTTTCTACTACAGTTGCATTCTTCTGTAATGGGCACAGGGATCAGCCCATAGCAAAAGTTTATTAGGGAACCAGGGAAGGAAGGAGTAGAAGATGAATGTATGATGCCAGTCAAGAGCATCCTGCAGGGGGTAACTCAGCAACCCCCATGAGGCAGGCAGAGGAAGGTAGAATGGGGGTGTGCTCATTTCCATGTGATATGCATCTAGTGAAGAGACCACCTGGGCAGCATGCAGGTATGGTAGATCTCCTCCCCTCTGCCAGGAGTTAGAACTGCAGGGTAGGGCGGGAGAGATGGCTCAGTGGTTAAGAGTACTGCCTGCTCTTCCAGGGGTCCTGAGTTCAATTCCCGGCAACCACATGGTGGCTCACAACCATCTGTAATGAGGTCTGGTGCCCTCTTCTGGCCTACAGACAGAATATTGTATACCAAACAAATAAATAAATATTTAAAAAAAAAAGAGCTGCAGGGCAACATTGCAACTGTGTGGCCTTGTCTAGGCCCTTCTATGAACCCTAATTTCTTCACTTATGAAATAGGAGGGTAGAGAGCCCAGTGCTTACTCCCTTTATTCTTTGAGCCAGCACCCAGTTATTTTGTATGGTTTTAATCTTGTCTGCTCTAGATTATGGCTTGACCCCTCCCCTCAGTGAATCTTAGAAGATCAGTGTTTTAGCATATGACACTCTGAATAGTGAGGAGACTGATTCTCTCCTGTCACCACAATGCCCCTTCACAAAGGCTCTGTTGTTTGTTACTTATGGTCATTCACTTGGGCATGTGGTAGTCTAGGCTTAGTTGGGGTTTGTGTGTATTCTTTTCCTCCTCTCCAACTTAGCTTAACGCTTCAGAGCTCTTGCCTAGCCTTGTGAGCCTTTTCCTCCTGAGAATACCTGACAAGGGGCTGACCAAGATATTTGCTTTTCAGGCTGCAGATTGTATTTATTACTACCCTTGAGCACAGAAAGCAAGCCAACTTCCAGCTCTTAACTGCCTGACCTGTTCATTGTCTGTCCACGTTCCGTCCTAGCCATCTTAACTGTTTGCCTGTTTGGTCTTGTCGCCTCCTGCCCTTGCTACACCCTAGTAGCTCTGACTGCAACACTCCTTTTCTGGATCTGCCTCACCAACAGCTTAATAATGCTGCTTCTTATCTCACTAACAAACCTTCTTCACCTGTGACACCTGTCACTTGTGTAGCTGTTCTTAGACCTCTGTTTGTTGCTTGCTTTCTCTCCACATTGCTTGTGCTCCCCCAGCCCTGGTTAAGTTACAAGTCATAGGGTGTGCTGAACACTGTCACACAGGACAGCATCAGTATCCAAAGCTGTTGAAAGTGTTGAAATTGAGAAGTGTTGTGTTATTAGATGACTCAGTCCTTAGCAAATGTCCATTCCAGACATCTCCAGCCTTCTGTTCAAGGCCATGTAGGACCCAAACCCTGAGAAGTCAAATCTTCGTAGTGTTTCTGGGTCATGAAGTTTTACTGACTCCTTTTCTCATTCATTCTATTCTGCCACCTCTGCGCACACCCTACTTTCTCTTTCCATTTTTTTAATCAGCAGGGAACTTCCCAAAATGCAAACTGCCTTTAATATCTCCAGTAGTTCCCCACTACTTTGAGGTTCCTTTGCCTGGGCCTCCACCTGACTTACAGACTCACTCTCCTTCCTAAACATTGTTCTGCTTCTGCACAGCAAATCCCTATCTGTTCCTGCACAGTTGTGTCCCCCACCTTCTTGTCTCCTTTACAGACCTTCAGTGGTACAGCAACATGTCCCACAACTGTAAAGCATTTTGCCAATTCAAGATTCTTATTGGAGTTACTGTAGTCCCAAATACTAAGATTGATTGCTGTATGGGGGTTCCTTTCTCAGATGGTATAGCTTTAAGATGGAGATTTCTGCCAAGATACACTTCTGGACATGGGACCCTTGAGCCAGGTAAAGTATGGAGCTAGCTAGCCAGCAAATGTGGACCCCAGAAGTATGTCCTCCACCCTGTATGGTCTCAACTGTGCTCTGGAGCCACCGTCCAGGCCTATACCAGGCTGGGCCCAAGGATTAGCAGTTAGGTAGGCAAGCCAGGCAGGGGCCACTCAGACAGTTTATGGTGGTTCTGAAGGTCTGGGTAATAGGGGAGTTGGGTGGCATAGTAGGAAAGCAATAATACTCATATTTAGAGAAGTGAGGATTAAAGAGTGTTAATAGAGGGCCTGGGTACCTGCATCCATAGGATGTAGAGATGTTAAAAGGATCAGCCAGAGAGTAAGGAACCTCAGTAAAGACATCTCTGCCCTTGCCACTGCTTTGCCTATGGCCAGACAAGTACCCCAGGGCCCAGGTGTTCAAGCTAACTCTACTTCCCTCCAGTACCACCAGCCCTTTGCTATTCCCTCTCCCATCTCCAACTGATAAGATGATTTGCCTTTCCAAACATAATTCTGCCTTCTCCTTGGGGAAAACCTTCCATAGATTTTAAGCACTGGACTATCTCACCTGTCAACCATAGCACTGTACTTCTCAGGGAGGGCCACATGCACCCATCTCTTTCTTAAATCCAACAAGCTATACCTCTGTGTTCTTCCCACATGTGGTTGACACATCTCAGCTCTGCCTGATGTGCGCATGTGGTAGCACATGCAGGTCATGACTGGTGCTGGAGGATGGGAAAAGAACACGCAAATCATAAAACTGCTTTGTACAAAGCAATGCCGTTTGTACCAAAATATTTAATGAATATGCTGTTAAAATGAACAAAAGAAATAGTAATACAATTTTACTGGTTTATATTTCAGTTCATAAAGTTGACGCACAAACTACCCTAGCACAATGTCCACACACCTAGTTTTAGATGGGCTTACAGCTGGTGTGGTAACTAACTGAACAAGACAGACACTGGAAGTGGTGGGGGATGGTGTGGGGAAGGGTTGGCCACTTGTTATCTCCCCACTGTAGATCTCTCATCAAGCATTAGTAAAGCCAACAGGGAAAGAGAAAACGACTCAAGAGTCCTTATATACAAACCCATGCCACCTCCAAAGGGCAGAAAGAACGAACCCCTCTGAGACTGCTTGTCAGCATATCGCCACATAAATTAAGTCCAAAGGTTTTGTTTTTTAATTAAAAAAAAGTGCTAAAACCACTAATTTATAGCTTTTGAAGTAAGACTCTGCAGCCCATCTGACCAGTGAGATCCACAGGCCAGGAAGTAGGACCATATAGTGTGTGCATACACAGCTCAGTCTTCCTCACTTGTGCAAACATTAGAGGTGAAGGAGCTCTTGCCAGCTCCCACAATGGCAGAAAGAACAGGAAGTGCTCCATAACCACAGACGGCAGTGGAACTAATTATCGGCTGAGTCTGGGATTTAAACACTGTCAGTGCAGGGTACTGGGAAAGGTATTTATATATATATATATCTATATATTTATACTAATACGTACACACACATATGTACACAGGACACATTAAACAAAGTAAAAGCTGTCCACATCATGATTGATTCAGTCTCACAGTCATGTGGCCCATGCCAGCCTTCTGAAGTTGTTTTGGCAGCTAATGCTTAAAAAAAAAAAAAGACAGGACTATGAGAGTTGCATAGAATTGCTCAGAAATGTGAATAATGCCAAATCAAAACCTGTGCACTATACTGATTAACAAAATTAGGTGACTTGAGCCATGATTACAAAGCTCTTCTACTCAAACAAAGTGCTTCTTGTCTCTCTGGGGACTTCTGCCAGCACTGAACCCCTGCCCCTAACCTAAAGGATAAAGTGTTTATGTATGTATTTTTTTTTTTTTTGTCTTTTTAAATAAAGGGTTTAGAAAACAAAAAACTAACACATTGTAGGATGCCTCAACTCTGACTGGGTGAGGTGCTCATACACGGCAGAGGCCTGGATGGCACTCAGGCGGGTGCATGTCCAGAGCATCAGTGGGGCTGGGAGCCTGCTGCAGGAGCCCTGGCCCACTGATCTACCAACTTGCTATACAGCTCTGAGCTAGGTACATTCTGGTCCTGGAACATGTCACAGAATCACACATCTGGCCAAAGAAGGCAACCAAAGGTGGTGTGTTTTCTGGAGGTGTCTGGAGGCAGCAGCTAGTCTCAGCATGTCTCTTTCCCTTGAACTCCAGTTGCTGTCTTTATGGAGCTCAGTGTGCGGTTAAACCAGGTCTTCTTGGCTGCCTGCACCTCACTGAGGGCAAGGCCCAAGTGGTGTTCCAAGTCCTGTAGAGATAACAGAGAATGTGAGCCTCTGCAGAGCTGAACCAAGAGCTCTGTTTACTCATCCTTCTGAGGCAGGTTTTCAGTGCCTACGGATCTGGAAGCTTTTCTAGTAAAGCCCTTTCTTGCCTAGCCTGTTACTACAACCACCTGATTGACTGTCAGGCACATCTTCATCTAATTAAATCCCCTATAAATCCAAATCACTCAGTATGGCATTTGAGATGCTTTACAGTCCGGACCCTGGTTTTCATCCCTTTCCTGAGACTCCTCACTAGGCAGGCCTCTTCTCCCTTAGGTTGTGGTCTGAGTGATTACCTCAGCCCAGAATGCTCATTGCTCTTGTCCTTCTGCAGCTGCTCTGTCTGTTCTCTGACCACAGTTTAGAGACTTATCTTGGTGGGTTTTTTTTTTTGTGATTGTCCGGGGCGATCCCACAAACTTTCCCAGAACTGAGGGCAAAACCTGACAAAAATGGACATGTCCAGTAATGGCCTCTGACATGGTATAGCTGGTCTGAAGTTTTAGACTTGAACCACTGATGCTGCCCTAGTGATAAGGATGGCTGGAGGCTCATATAAATTAGGAAATATGACCAAGGTCACAAAACTAGTTAAGAAGTGATGAGTGTTTTGACAAAAAGGTTTGCATTTGTTTAGACCCCATCCCCATATATATCCTATATAATTTTTATACTCAGTATAGCCCAACAAACAATAGGACTCTCATTTCTGTAGAAACACTAGGAGCCTGAGGTGTAGGGAGATTACTAACCCAGACTGAATGGGGGAGCTACAGTTTTTAAACAGTTGCTCTATGCCCCACTAAAAACACTGACGCTTTCTTGGTAATTCTTAAAGTCCAGATCCTTAAGTCAGGCTAAATGGTTAAACATGCTCTGGTAGGTAAAGAGGATTGTGTTCTCCCCAGAAGGGCTATGGTCAAGTTTAAGTGGTGATGGGGATCAAGACATACCAAACCACACAAGTCGTTTCTGGGACTCTAGTACATATCAGGAACCTGGGCTGCTATGGAGGGTGTGCACCTTCATGAATGAATTGCTGTTACCTGGATCTTGCACTCGGCTTCTACCAACTGTAGTTTGGTCTGGGCCAGTTCCAGCTCCATTTCCCGCAGCTGGTTCTTGAGTGTCTCTTTTTCTTCATCCGTGTCCTCATCTGAAACCCCCTTGGCTGAGCTGGTACCCTTCACTCTCCCTTCTTTATTAAAGAAGTCTCGGCAGCGGTCACAGTCATCTACCTTTTGCTGGAGTGAACACCAAAAGTGAAAAGACCCAAAAGACAGCAGCACCCTGTCAAGTACTTTGTGTCTTGGTGTGTCTTGTGAGCATCAGAAAAGTCCGTTTACTTTGGGAAACTGTCAGAAACCTACTTCGGACACTACCTGGTTGGTGTTCCAGACCCTATGTAGACTGTGAGGAGTTCTGGGGTAGAGAAGAAAGGCTCACATACAAGGACCCGCACTAACTGGACATACAGAGATACTATCCACCTGGGGACGGTAGGATATGGTAGCCTGTGCTTGTTCAGGGGAGCCTTGAGAATATAGGAGAATGGGTAAATACTAATACTAGTATAAAGAGTAGGGCACAAAACTGGATAAAGATGCTGGAGAAATGGCTTGTAGTTAAGAGCATGCGATGCTCTTATAGAGGACTTGAGTGTGATTTCAGCACTATATCAGGTGGTTTACAACCTCTTGCAATTCTAGCTCTAGGGCCCTCCATAGGCACCTGTGCTCAAATGCACTTATCTGACCCATAATAATAAAAATAAAAAACTGTAATTATTAAAAACATAAAAAACTCTTAAAATAATAAAAAAACAACAAGGTATATAAAACAATCACAGCCGGGTGGTGGTGGCGCACGCCTTTAATCCCAGCACTTGGGAGGCAGAGGCGGGCAGATCTCTGTGAGTTTGAGGCCAGCCTGGTCTAAAAGAGCTAGTTCCAGGACAGGCTCCAAAACCACAGTGAAACCCTGTCTCGAAAAACTAAAAAAAAAAAAATAAATAAATAAAACAATCACAAATACTTTACATTTCACCAAAAAAGGATGCCATTGGGAAAAAAATTCTATTATACCACCAAAACCAAAACAAAACCGTACCTCAAATTTAGAGATGTAAATGTTTAAAGAAAGTGTAATTTGGGATAAATGCAGTTTTATAAACTAAGACCAGGAAAGGCTGGAACTGTGGTGTGAGGGTTTTTTTAAAAACTCATCCAGAGTCTGCAGGGCAGCAAGAACCCCCACCTCAAGCAATACTTGATGCAGCTTTCCTAGTGATGGTCACCATAGGCATCCAAGTACGAGATCTAAAAGCCATAGCACATTTGGTCTCATTCACAATCCTTCCAGAGGAAACAGACATGGAAGAAGCTGTTGAGTACCAAGCTTAAGCCTGTGACAGGCAGTTTATCTGGACTTCTCAGTCTGATGCACTTGGACCTATGTGTTAAGGATAGGCCATAATATGAACAAGAGGGTATGAAATCTCTTTAGTTAAGAAGTCTTACCCGAATTTTCTCAATTTCTACTTTATTGGCTGTCTGCTGCTTCTCCAGTCTTTCACTCAATTGAGAACAAATCTAAAGAAACATAAAACCACAGACATTGGTTCAATATCACCTACATAAGTTGGACTTTAGATAAATTCTATCAGCACCTGGAATATGCTGTGAGTGCACAGGTGAGGTGGGAATTGGCCTACAAGGTTCTCTATAGGCCCCTTTGAGATCCGTGGTAGAGAAGGGAAGAGTTGAGTATGGTTCTGTGATTGTGATATGTTAACATCTAGATCACCTGAAACATTCATGTGCCCCTATATGTTAGTACTTGCCAAGCATGCCTACCTACTGGGAACTCAACAATATTCCCAGCTTGCTTAGTTTACACGTAAGACTGAGGTTAAGAAGAGGGGCGTGAAGCCAGTGTGCTGCTGCACTGAGGCCAGAGTGCAGTCTCCTCACCATGTGCACAGCCCGGGTCTTGGGGTAAAGAAACTCACCTGCTTATAGTCACCAATGATAGAGCTGTTTTTTTTAATCTCTGATTCTGCCTTGTCAAGTTCCCGGCGGCACATTTCCTTTAACTGCACACATTAAAGAAAAGTTAATGTTTTAAGTGAAAAAGGAAGCTTGGTTATTATTTGCGTAGCGCTGCGCCTTCCAAATAGTGCCTCACCTACCACACTCATCTCCCTCCTCCTCCTCTCAGCACAACACTAATCCTCTGTACTTAAAAGACAATAGAAGGAGAAAAGCAACACTTCAAAAAATGCTGGTGGTCAGTTCCAACAGGGCTTCTGCCCAAGTCAGTTCAGCACTGTACAAGAGACAGTGCTGGAAAAGAGACACAGATGGAAAAGCCTAGGATGAGAGGGCAGTGTTACACAAGATGAGCTTAGACAGGCTCACCCTGGCCAGTCCTGCCTGAGATAGCAGCTGTGAAGGGTCCTGCAAGAGTGCAGAGGGAGGGGGTGGGACCTCATTTTGGATCCCATGGTACCCTCAGCTCTTCGTGTATTCATTCTATGATAGAGGTAGGTATCCAAGGACCCACTGTCCGGGTTCTCCAGTGCTGAGGGGGTTCCAGCTGAACCCACCAGTATTTACAAAATTCAGGTGTCAGGGATGGGGGCAGGATCCCCTCACCTGTGCAGACTCCTCTTCTAACCGCCTCTTCTCGTCTTCTGCATCAATCAGCTTCTGTTTGGTCATCAGCAACTCCTTATTCAGTGCATCTGCCTTTTCTTCTGCCTGAAACATTGACGAGATGCCATCACCATGCATTCACTAAGAGCTTGGAACTTGGAAGGGTATGATCCCATTTTAAGAAAGTAGGAAAGCAAACCCAGACAGGAATGGTATGCTCAAGGTCATACCTAGACTACCTGAAGTGTGTGATAGTGCAGGGCATTGGTCAGGAGCTGAGCTTTTGACTTGTCTCAAATCTCGCAGCTGGGTGACTTGACACTTGAATGAGTAAGTTACGGAGAACCTTTCTAAGGTCCAGGCTCTCCAGCATAACAGTCAGTACAGTGCCTAGGCTTTAGAGGGAACACTGGAATGGTAGCTGTAAATTTTAAAAAGTTTTCTCATTTCTTTTGTGCATCCAAATAGTCTTGCATGTGTTCTTGCTAAAGTTATTCAATAGAGAAGGCTGCTTTCTTTAGGTACTTTGTGTAATTTCAAATGGCCATGTGCTATCATAGTCTTTGCTAGCACACACGGATGTCTGTTGAATGGAGATCTGAATCTCAGGGAAAGAACCCTGTGGTCCCTGACTCTGACCTTTCCACAGATAACCAAGAGTGTTTGTCATGCTGGACAGCAATCAAGGAAGTGAGGGATGGCCTTTTCTGTCCCTTCCTAGACAACTTTCCCAGGCTTCTCTGACATTAAACAGTGTTGATTACACTCTTGGGGAACTGAGATAGGCATGACACAAGCACACTCAGCTGACTGTTGATGACCTGCAGACAAGACTGTGCTGGCACAAATAAAGGTGAGTGGTGTCCTTTTTGAGATCATTCACTAGTTTCTCCTCTATTGCAAACCCAAGAGGCAGTCACAAGCAAAATGAAGACAGCAGGCCACAAGGAGACAGTAAGGAGAACACAGCTCTTTGACACTCTTGAGCATAGTCGGGACACTCTTTCCTGCACCCATTATCACTGCTATGGAGGAGGTGACTTAATGGAGCTGACTCCAAGCATGGGTCAGCCAGGGGAAGAGCTGATCCAGCTATAGGTTTGCTTTCACAGGAGCAAGGTGGTTGGTGATGGACTCTCCACAGCAGTTATTCCACCACTCTAGCTGGCTCTCAGCGCTGTTGATGGGAGGTGTGCTGAGGCTGACTGCCCCAGCCAGTCTTCTGACGGAACCCCACTTGCTACAGTTAGTTACTCTATTTACATAAGCAGCTGAGATGAGAACATCTGGGGAATATATATATATAAATCCCAGCTTCTACTTTGGGTCATGGAGGGTGAACAGAACCACAATGACTCTTCCTCTGCAATCAGAAAACTGGACAACATCTGGGAAACAACTGTTCCATAGGAGGAAAGAAGAAATCATGTACATTCTCATATCTTTGGGGCTCTGTCGGAGGCCAGAGGATGAATGTCTGAAAGGTTAAGTGTCCTGGGTGGTTGGGGTGCAGAAGTAGTGGGAGAGAGAGGTCACAACGGTCTATAAGGTGTTAAAAGACCAAGAAAATACCTAATTAAACAAAGGATGCAGCAAAAGAGAAAAAAAGCAAGCAGGATAGAAAACTTATTCCTGTCTGGATATAACAAAGAGGACGAAAAAGATAACTGCCCGGCAGCACACACAGACTTTAAAGAAGGAAACATAATGGAGATACATGCAGATGCTCCCCCTCCCTCATAAAACTCCGTAAGTTGGAAGTAAAGTAGGTGCATAGCTAAATTTTTACAAAAACAGTGCTCACCCAGAGTTTCACAATTTTAAATGATTTTTAAGAAGGTTTGCAGTAAATTTTAAAATCTTAAGATAGTAGAAAATGTGCAGATTAAATCTCTACAAAATAGAGATTTTGAACAAAACAAATACTGCAGTAAAACAAAAGTTGGCTTTTGGAAAGACCACCCTTACTAATATAATCACATGGGGTGGGGCGGGCACAACCCAGTATTGGTGCAAAAGGAACACTGCTATAGATACATAAACACCAGCAGTCAGATCCACAGGCTTGGTCACCAAGGACAAGGTGCTTAAAGCACAACATAAAAATGAAGAGCAGCTAAGCAGTATACACATATAATCCCAACATTTTGGGGAACAGAAGCATGGGAACTACCCGAACTCCAGGCTAGTCAGCTCACAATTTCCAAGTTGTAAGCCTTACAACCGAGTTTACTAGATTACAAGTTCAAGGCTCACTTGGACAGTTTAGGAAGGCCCTTGTCTCAGAATAAGAAACAAGAGCTGAGTAGCAGCTCAGGGTAGAGTGCTGGCCTGATAGGTATAAAGCCCTGGTTCAATTCTTACTATTATAAACCAAGGATGAAACTCTACTGGAAATTACCATAGGAATGTAAAGTTAGTTTACATTATAGTGTAATGGATTAACCAAACTAAGAAAATAAACCTAGCCATTATAACAGAAACAAGAAAATCATGTAGCAAAATTCAACAGAGTCATAACAAAACCGAGCAGAGAACAGAGTAAAAGTATCTCCGCTCCTCAAAACGACCCCCAAAACTAACCGCAAAATGATACCCAGTACTGCTCCAAAGACCTTAGCAAGTATGGAAAGCAGAAGAAAAGATAGAAGAACATGAAGTTAAATAAATGGTCTTCATTCTGAGATACAATAGTGTGTGAAAAATGCAAAAGAAATATAAAAAACACCCCCCCCCACACACACCCTGACTAGACTAATCAGATTTTGACAAGGTATAGCACACAATTACTTCTATTTCCATAGATCACCAGCCACGCTGTGGTTGGCACAATCCCAGCACTCAGGAGGGAGAGTCAAGCATACTTCTGAGTTCGAGGCCAGCCTGGTCTACAAGGTGAGTTCTATGACAGATAAACCCTGTCTTGAAAAAACAAACCACCCACTATTTGTAACATACTGAAACGGGCAATCATGTGAACTGGAAACTGCAAAGCAGTGCTGAGAAGAACCAAAGGAATGTTTATACAAAGCTGACAGGCCATGGCTTGGGGGCTCAGCTGCTGCTCACATGTCAAGCCTTGCCACAAATTGACAGATTCCACAAAACCTGACTTAAAATCCCAGCAGGCATCTATTTCTAGAACCTGAAAAACAGACTGCGACTTTTATAGACATACAAAGGATTTAAAGCAGCCAAGTGAGCTTTAAAAAGAACAAAGCCAGGCAACTTCAATGACTTCATTTTAAGATTCATTAGAAAGCTTCTGAAATGAAGGAAGTGTGGTCCTGGCATAAGGATGGAGCAGCTGGAGTGCCAATCAGACCAAGGAATGCAGAGTCAGCTGATGTTTGTAGAGGGGTCTGAGGTGGTATAGGAAGTCTAGTAACCTGCTGGTCCCAGCACGTAGCTCCTATGTTGCTTTTTGCTCTAATGCCATACTGTCTCAAGGCAGAGGAGCATCCATGCTACAGAGGACTGAGACAGTGCCATCACCCCCATGTCAGGGATTTTCTATAGGCTACCCCACTGCATTAGAGGAGAAAACTTTTCTGGGATCACCAAGGAGTTAAATGACTAGAAATCTCTCCACAGCTGTAAATGGCACAAAGAGGCAGATGACAATAAACACAATAGAGGTATGAGGACAGAATCAAAAGGAATGAACTTCTTTTAAAATGGGGTCACTGAAGTCCCAAGACTGAGAACACCCCACCTTCATGTCCCTTTCTCTTAAGGCACTAATGAACTCGGAAAGGATATCTGCTTAGAACTGTGTGTGCTGGCACATGCTCCTGAGTCCACTGTCAGCCTCTTAGAGTGTAAGCACTGGATTCAGGCTCTCTGGGTTTCACCATGATGACTGTGCCCTACGACTAGCTGGGCAACCTGTGTAAGATGGTCAAACTGATTGCTTCCATTTCGTGATCAGTGAAAGGGGACCATGGTCCTGTATATTGGGCTGTTTTAAAGGCTCTCAAATGGTGTGTAAGTGCCTGGAACAGTGTCTAGAGAAATGCTACCTCTTACGCATCAGACTCATTAATCTTCTTTAGCTTGTGATATAGTTAAGACATCAGATCAAGGGGCCTTGGCTGTTTCTGTATCTATTAAGGAGACAATCTGATATCACAGGAAAGATCTCAGGCATTCTAGGGAGTTCCAGAGTTCTCTAGCTTTCTGGATATTGTCACCCCTCTGCACCTCATAACTGTTAAGAATACAATTCTTAGCCTGGTGTAAAGGTGCACTTGAGAGCAGAGGCAGGTGGATCTTTGTGAGTTCTAGACAGCCTGATCTATACAGAAAATTTTAAGTCTGTTGGAACTCCATAATAAAGAAGAAGCCTCCCTCCCTCCCTCCCTCCCTCCCTCCCTCCCTCCCTCCCTCCTTCCTTCCTTCCTTCCTTCCTTCCTTCCTTCCTTCCTTCCTTCCTTCCTTCCAGAGGTAGCAAAGTTCTTAAGAGATGACCAAAGCTCTGTGAAATGCTATAAACTGTGTCTGGCGCCACGGGAGAGACTGCTAGAGTTTTCACTGTTTCTACTTCTGGTGTCAGGAATGTAGCCTGGTTTTCTGACTACAGTGTCAAGATAAAGACATCTAAAAAAAGATTTACACAGCTTAGAGACAGGCTCAAAAATCCAAGTCCGGCTGAGGCATGGTAGTGGCACACACATTTAATCCCAGCAACAGGAAGGCAGAGGCAGGTGGATGTAAAAATTCAAGGCTAGCCTGGTCTACAAAGTAAATTCCAGGTCAGTTAGGGCTACACAGAGAAACCTTGTCTCAAAAACAAAATAAAACAAAAAACAACAACAAAAACTCCAAACAACCCTCAAAAAACAAACAAAAGAATGTAAGTCTAAACTCTACCACAGACCACTGAATGGCTGCTATCACTAGTTCATAGAGTAGAAAATGTCACAGCTCAAGCGGAAACTCACCTAAGACTTTGGCCAACCTGCCACTGCTGTACCTCTCAGGGTTCTTTTATTTTCACTTCCTCTCTACACCATCCACAGCTGGGAGAGAAGTGTGAGGGGATCTTTGCAGCTCTGTTCCATTTACATCGGCTCCCTCTAGTCTCCAGGCAGCAGCGCTGGGGCAATGACAGTGCTGTGCAGGTTTCTGGAAAGGAAGGAGGCTTAACCCCGACAAGCAGGCCTGTGGGGAGCTAATGGCCTTGAACTGTTCTCACTGCAGCTGGGGAAAGAAGCCTGTTCCGTGTCTGACAGCAGTCGGGATTCTGACCCTTCTCTGCGGACTTTTTTTTTTGAACAGTATGTAAAATCATGCAATCTCGACTCTACCTGTGCCACAACCATTACTCCTCTTGCCCAGACCTCAGTGTCCAAGATGGAGAGAAAGCAAACTAGGTGATTACAGCCCAGGTGTGTCTGAAATTTTCAATTTCTGAAGAAAATGAAAAAGAACCAGTAGATACTACCATATTTTCCTTTAATATTTTATCAACTCTGAGAAATTAATAAAAGCACTTGTTTTTAAGGAAGTATACTACATGTGCACCATTTGTATACATGGATGGATGTCAAGGACTTTCTAAAGTCCATACTCTCTGTACAAATGAAATTATATATGCGTGTGAAAGGTCTAAGTTTATTGCTAGAATCTCAGCAAATCAACAAAGAAGTCGTCTCAGGGTACTGTGCAATTAAATCTAGGGACTTAAAATCAGGGGCCACATCCAATCTACCTCCAATTTATGTAAATAAATTTTTATAGAAAACAACCATACTCATTCTTTTATCTGTAAACTGTTTTTGTATTAATGGTGGCATCAACTAGCAGCAATTAAATATTCTTTTTTTTTTGTTTGTTTTTCAAGACAAGGTTTCTCTGTAGCTTTGGAGCCTGTCCTGGAACTAGCTCTTGTAGACCAGGCTGGCCTCGAACTCATAAAGATCCGCCTGCCTCTGCCTTCTGAGTGCTGGGATTAAAGGCGTGCGCCAACAAATAAGTCTGCCATTCCTAAGCAATGAATGAGACTACTTCTTCTAAGGGAAGCTTATGGTACAGAAAGCAGAAAGTCATTGTCAGGATGAGAGAAACGAACAAAAGTGGAATTATCTGCCAGTAGACAGCATTGAACTAAGTCCCCGTGAGCTGTGTCACTGAACAGGCCTGTGACAGGAAGAGGGACTAAACCTGTGTCTTAGTGTGGACTCCAAGAAGCTCTGAGAACTGAATGCTGCTTACTGACAGCATGAGAATTAGTAAGATTTACCCCCCTCCCCAAACAAAACAACACTTCACAACCTCGGGGAAACAGGGAGGCTCTGTGAGCACTGAGAATGTACAGAGGATATCAGGGCAGCAGCAAAGTGGAGGAAAGTCAACACTGAACTTCATGGGAAGAGTCAGCGTCCCTGCTGGGAGCCTTCTCCTCACACCCATCACACTTACATTATCCAGGTCCTTCCGCAGTGCAATCTTGCTAGTGACCAGCTCATGAGCCAAGTCATCATTTTCCTGTTCCAATCTCATGTTAGCTTCTTGCAGCCGCCTATTCTCCCGCTGTAGGAGGGAAATAAGTCAGTTATGAACATCAAATGGAAATGATAGTTTTTCATGGGCCAAGCTTCAAAACAAGTCTCCAAGTCCCGTAAAGGCGTACACCACCCACCAATCCAGATATTTTCTAAATAAACTATTTCTAACTTCCTGTCTCCACAAAGACACATAACTGTCTGGAGTGGCCTTGTCTGGCTGACTGTGAGGAAAGAACAAGGAACCTGGGTAGCTGCTTTGGAGCAGAATAGCTGTTATTTTGTCATTTGCAAACTCAATCTAAAAACTAGTCTTTAAACAGTAGAACTGAATTTTTTGGAAAAGTTCAATAAAGCTAGTTATGGGTACAAGCCTGTGAAGTCAAGGCTGTAAAACAAACCTCAAACCGCTCAATGGGGTCTTCCTGTTGGGCCTGCTGCTCCCTCATGGTGTGGTACTCCTTTTCATACTTCTTCAGCTTCTTCTGGCTAATCTGCCAAGGAAGTCACAGCACAGATGAAGAACCTGATAATGGTGGTGCTTACTTCCACTGACCTGGGCAAACCCAATTACTGTGGACATGGCATTTACTGCTTTGGGATGGAAATCTTCATAGATAAATATAATCCCAACACTCTGTCAGGAATATTTGGCTCCCCAAGTTATTAATAACAGTGCTCTATAGAACACCTTACAGATGGCTTTGCCTACCTAAGTCTGGGATCTGTTTGATCCTAGTAAGCCACCATTTTCTGTAGCACATACCAGCAGCATCACTAAATGCTTCACACCGAGACCCTCCCTCTTCAGGCATACCATTTCCTCATGTGAGGGATCAAGAGGTTCTGTTTCATGATTAATGATGTCAAGAGGGAATTGGTTTGAAAGCCTGGCCACTGGATTCCTTTCAAAGCCGAAGCCCACCACACTCTGAAAATTCCCAAGCCCTGTTACCACTGTACTAGTTCCCTCCGTGCTGCCTCCAACAGGTATATTTCCCTCTGCCTTTAGAAGCAGATCTCACTGTTCCACCTTGTCCTTTCTTACTGTAAGCCACAGGCTAAACCTTGATCCTCACTACTCTAGACAAAGGATATTCCTGAAGCCACCATGCTTCTTTCCTACTTTCCCTAAGTCTTCCTTCTCCCTTAGATTTTCATATTCCATCATGGCCAACCATTTCTCTTTCTTATGGGGAATCTTAGCGTCTCCCTTTCTTCTGGCTTTCTTCCTGTGCCTATCAGGAGTTCTTTGTGTACTGGCAGGCACTCCTCTTCCTTCAATCCTAAGTAAGTGAACTTCAGGAATCAGCTCTCCTTTGTTCAATTCCTTCTAGAAAGCTAATTCATTCTCTGTGGAAATTTGTTATTTTTTTTCTTTTTCTTTTCTTTAAAAAAATATTTATTTATTTATTATGTATACAATATTCTGTCTTTGTGTATGCCAGAAGGCCAGAAAAGGGCACCAGACCCAACTACAGATGGTTGTGAGCCACCATGTGGTTGCTGGGAATTGAACTCAGGACCTTTGGAAGAGCAGGCAATGTTCTTAACCTCTGAGCCATCTCTCCAGCCCCTTGTTATTTTTTAATTTTTCTGTATAACAGCCCTGGCTGTCTGGAACTTGCTCTGTAGACCAGACTGGCTTTGAACCCAGAGACTTACTTAGCCTCTGCCTCCCTAGTGCTGGGATTAAAGGCATGTGCTACCAAGCTCAGCCATTCTCTTGTGTTTTTAAAATTACATATACATTATATAAATTATACATACATATAAAGTATGAGCTATTGCAGATAGCATGATAAAGCAGACATGTTCAGCTTAGAAAATGACTGTAAGCCTAGTGCTTCTTTGTTCTCAAAGCTTCAATTATCAGCATTAAATTACTCATTTTCCAATCTGCTCCTGGCCCACAGGTCCAGGGAACTACAGATGAAGAGAGTCAAGCAGAAGTGGTGAGCAGGTGCACGCTTGCAGCATGCTGGCAGTAGTGCTTGCATATCTTTTCTGCTCATGCTTTGACCTTGGAGCATCCTCTCTCACTTGCTCTGACTAGAGCTGTACTGCTGGTGTCTGGCATTGCTATCCTTAAGCTGGTGGTCAGGGTACAATCTTTGGGTCTGGCTACAGTCTCCACAAAGATTCCCATTAAACACTCACAGGAGACCACAAGCTGGAGAGGGCTAGCTCTACTACACATCTCTGTGTTACCCAATTTGGAGGGTAAACTTTTATTGCGCTGCTAAGTGACTCACCAAAACAAACAAACAAAAACCACATCTAAATAAAACATCTGTGCAAGCAGGAAATTTATAAACAAGTCCTGTCAGAAAATAATCGAGGCTCATGGGCAGCATGCTCTTCTCCCACCCAGTGCTCTTCTCAGTCTGGGCAAAGAGAAACAAGGGCAGCAAAGACAAGGCTCCCTTGAGCTCCTTCTAGAGAAGAGCAGACACCATCTCCTGCACAGCCTTCACAATCTTCAAGACGCTGCCGGTGGTGGTGGTGGCGCACGCCTTTAATCCCAGCACTCAGGAGGCAGAGGCAGAGGCAGGAGGATCTCTGTGAGTTCGAGGCCAGCCTGGTCTACAAGAGCTAGTTCCAGGACAGGCTCCAAAGCTACAGAGAAACCCTTTCTCGAAAAACAAGCAAACAAAAAACAAAACAATCTTCAGGACGCTTTAGCTCACTCTCATGCAGCCTTTCCTTATAACTATCCATTTTGAAAGGCTAATTTCCAAAGTTTATTATCTTCGATTGAAACTAGCAAAGTCAGCATCCATGGTGTCCAAGTTCACAGTTACTCAGGCTCTTCCTCCCTGCTCTATGTTCCATGTCTCTTTCACTTGCCATGCACCTCAGTGCCTAATCAATGCCTGAATAGGACTCAATCAGGCCCCCCCTTCAGGGTCTGATATGGACCATGTTCTTATGACATGGAATATCTAGATTCCAATATACACGTTCTCCCAAGACAGCTTTATTGTGACATTTCTGTCACACAGTAACCATCAAAATACTTAAACAGAGACACAGTCTCTGGAAGGATGAGTTATTCACTCTGCTCCAGAGTTCAGAAACCTTCAAAAATTACAGCTTCACACAAAGAGGTACTGTCATCTTTCAGCAAGATTAAAGTAGAAACTGACCCTTTGCTCTGTTTAAGGTTTCTTTCAAGAAAAAGAAACCAAACTGCTGGCCCAAGTGTGGGATGGTAACTGAGTCAAGCAGCAGGTCCATATCCACTATAGTCAGTGCAGAGCTCTGGGAAGTAGCCCCACTCAGGATTCTTGAGCACACAATCCTCCCTTAGGGGCAGAGCCATGCACTCACCCCTAAGGGAAACATTCTGCAAATACCATCAGAGGGCTCCCTGAGATTGTCTGTTGTCCGGTGGAAAACTAGTACATGCCAACTGTTTTTTAATTTTTAATTTAGTTTTATTTTTTACATTATTTACACTCATTCTGTGTGTTCACACATATGTCCATGTGTGCCATTACCACATGTGCTATACATCCCATCTGTAGGTCAGAGGACAATTTCAGGAGTTGGTTCTCTCCTTCTACCATGTGAATTCTGGAGCCCGAACTCAGGCTTGTCAGACTTGATGGCAAGCACCTTTACCTGCAGAGTATCTCAGTGTCCCCTAAACTGGTATGTGGCATAAGTTCCAATGCAGATCCAAACACCTCTCCTTTAGCCATTCATCTGCCATGAGAACTGCCTACTATCTGCACTGGTGAAGCTGGTCCCCAGTCAGCCTCGGGAGTAGACAGTGGCATCAAGGTCCACACAGATGGAGAGAGAACTGAGAGTGGCTGCTGAACTGGGTTCTATTGAGGTGCAACCTGCTCAGCTCCGTGAGTAACACACCATAGCTTCAGTCTCGGCAGATGACTTGCTCATCTGTGAAATACTAATAGTGCTTCTGAGTGTGTTGAGAGGATCTCCTGACAGAAAACTACCATGTTCAGTGCTCAGAAGACTACACAACACAGAGGGAGTCTTTTCAATAAGCAGTAACTGTAACTTGCTGTTGCAATTATTATCTGGCAACCTATCTGAAAGAAATAGAGCAGCTCCCTCAATAAACTGTGGTGTTTGAAGGAAAATGGCCCCCAAAGGGAGTGGCACATGAGGTGTGGCTCTGTTGGAGGAAGTGTGCCACTGCGGAGGTGGGCTATGAGGTCTCATAGATGCTCGAGCTACACCCAGTGCGACAGTTCACTTGCTGTTTCCTTTGGATCAAGATGTAATGACTCTCAGCTCCAGCACCATGTCTGCCTGCATGCTGCCTTGCTTCCCACCATGATGATAATGGGCCCAATCACTGAAACTGTAAGACAGCCCTAATTAAATGTTTTCCTTTGTAAGAGTTGCTATAGGCATGGCATCTCTTCACAGCAATAGAAACCCTAACTAAGACAATGTGAATACATCAAATCACTTAAATGAAGTCCATTTTACACAGAAAAGCTTGAACTAGTCTGGCCCTTTAGAAGAGGGGCAGGTTTCCAGAATGCCTTAAGAAAGTTTTGCGGAGGTAGGAGGTGTCCTGGTATGGGAGCCACAGGGGAGTTCAGTAAGGCAGCCTGTTAAGATCTGCATGACGAGATTGAAGCCTAGAGTCTGGGTAACCTGGTAGGTGTTGGGGAATAAATAAGAGGTCTGGTGCAGGAGGGATCCTGGTGTGAATAGGATTGATAAAGTGATTAAGAAATTGGATACTGGCCCTCCTTCCAGCTCAAGAATGCTTGGGGGCACTGCTGTGCTTTTGAGTTACCAAGGCTTATATAGAACTTTCCAGATAGTGACGTGCCTCTATATCTACTATTTTATTTATGCCTCAAAATAATTTCCCGAAATGGGTAAGGCAAAGGCTATTGCCTAACGTCAGTATCAGCTGTAACATGCATAAATGGTGACTGACAACACCACAAGAACACAGTCTGGGCGAACTTGTTTCCTCCCATCTCTGTGATTTACACTGACCTGAACCACCCAGATGAAGGAGACAGGCCATGTCACAAAAGCCCACAAGCAGCAGCTGCTTAAGGCATCAGTACAGCAATGCTGTCTAATCTACCTGGATCACACAGCACAAAGGCCAAGGTTGGCCTCTAAAATGCCTGATGTCAATAAACAGTATATTAAGGCTCTGTTCAAATAGTTCAGACTCAGAGTCCTTTAGAGGAATCAGGTATTCCTTTAATCGTGGACCATTAGACAGAATCAGGCATCTGAATCTGACCTGAATTCTTTTCTACAGTACAAGAAAAAAAATTAGTAGCCAAGGCTCCAAGAGCCGACAGTCAAGGGAACCTAGCTTTTTAAAGGAGGAGGTTTGCTTGTTGCTGGCCTTGTGTAACGGTGTAAACGAATGCAGACAGATTGTAAAAATATATACAGCTTTAATGGAGAAATAGACTTACAGAACCACCATTCCTGCGGAGACCAGGAAAGCAGAAGCAACGACTGGGAGCACGCTTGC